TCTCTGGAGGTTTGAATCCACCAGCTCTTCCAAGGGAGGAAGATGAGCAATCTCCTCCCTTGTGATTTACAGCCTCTGAAAACCCACTGGAGGGTCAGCTATGGGTCGGTCCTGACTCGACAACAGTTTGAGCTCTTTCGCTCCGCACATGTGTGAAGTTCATTGACACTGTGTGTATTAGCGGTATGTTCCTCTCCATCACTGTACAATATTCACAGTTTCTTTCTCCAATCTTCTGTTGATAGGCATTTGCACAGTTTCCAGTTGGGGCAATAAAATATAAAGATCAGAGCACCCTAGTCCAGGTCTTTTGGAAGACATTAGGCCTCACTGGCACAGCCTGGTATATTCCAGGGTGGGAAAGCTGGACCATAGGGCAGAGCAGCAGAGAGCAGATTGGCAGGTAGAACACCATGCAGGGCTGGGAGTTTTAAATGAGGTCTGAGTTGGCATCGGTGCCCAGCACACATGTTCTCCTAAAGTGTGGCTGGACCTAGAGTAGGCCAATGGCCAAGGAGGGGTTATCTCCCAGAGAACACTCACAAACAGCCTCCCCCAAAAACCTTCAGGCCAGAGTCCTCCCTTACCCAAGGCTGAGAGAACATTCTCTGATGTTCTCTCCTTCCCTCCAGGAAGGTGAATCAGGCCTATCTCCTCCACCTGCCCCACACAAGGCCAGTCCCCTAGAGGCTTGGATACTATGTTCCGAGACGCCAGGCAGGGCTGACTAGGCACCCTTCTGTGGCCCCAGGCACTGCAGCTTTTTGCCAACTCTCTGCTGTAATCAGCTGGCAAACATGAGGCCTGGCTAGGAGAGATAGGGGAGATGCCTCAGAAGCAGGAAATGTCCTGCTGAGCCAATATTACCTCCCCTCTAGGGGCCAAGGTCTATGTGTGTGTGTGTTGTGCCTGTGGTCAAAACACTCACATCCCCTGGTCAGCTCTCACTCCTTAAGCCTTCCTTGAACCCAGCCCCAGGTCCCAAGGGCTGAGGGACCCAAGTATGCTCCCCAGGAATACCGGTTTCTGAGACCCTGTCCAGGCTGCCCTGCACTTCATGTATTCAGTCAAGGAGCGTGTTCAGCACTATTCCAGTTGTGCCCACAGCATAGCCCTATGCAGTGAATATGGGCATGTTCCTCTTGTGTCCACCATGGGATAAATCACCACTGAAAGCACTCTTACACAGCATTTATCCTGTACTGTCCTCATCATTTCTAACAACTTCCCTGAAGAAGTTTTAGTCTGAGTGTATTTTAAGAAGAAAAGAAAGAACATTCCACCTACAGTCAATATGTGGTGGGAGGGGTACTCCGAGGCACAGTGAGGTCCAGGCAGGTCTGGTCAAACCTCAAGCTCCCCAGGGCCAAGCTTCCAAGACTGGGCTGTTCCCCATTGCAGTTTTCAGAGGGTGGTGCCCAGTGATGGCCCTTCTGGTCTAACATATTCTCTTCCTTATACCTGGTGCGGCTTCCCCATTAAGTGGGGTATGGAGTTTGTGGGAGGTGGGAGCATCAGAAGGGAAAATGGACAGTCCTAATAATCCTGTGGGAATTCATGTATGTTTGTGTGTGGTCATTTCAGAGCTCAGAAAGACAATCTCCTTCCATTAAGATCTACAACCTCAGAAAGTAAAAGTTAAGATCATTCGGAGTTGGAACCAAGCCAAGGGCAGTGAGTTTGGTTTTCACTAACTTTCCAAGATCCAAAGAGATCAACTGACCTGCTGGGGACACACAGTTAGTGACCGAGTTGGTTGCTGTTAGGGGTCAAGTCGAGTACGACTCACAGCAACCCTATGAACAACATCCCTGAATCCTTCCTTATCCTGTACTATCCACACGTGAGCCCAATGCTGCAGTCACTGTGTCAACCCATCTGGTTGACAACCATACCGAAAGGGGACTCTGCTGTCCTGTAGGTTAAGAAGCTGAGCTGCAGTCCCAAAGATACAGTGTTCAAATCCACCAACCTTCTGAAGCATGGGCAATTGCCTTCCCTACGATTTATTCGTGCGATTTACAGCCTCGGAAAAATCCGCTGGAATGTGAACTATGAGTTGGTGCTGATTCCACAGCAATGAGTATTTCAAATGGAGAACTGAGTGTCACACCTTCAGGTTCCAGAGTCGCTTTATGAGCCCAAGTCCCGAACTCTGGGTCTAACCTGGAGGCCTGCAAACTTCACAAAGCCGAGAAGGACTTTGTTATTGTTATGAGCCTGCACCTCACAGCGACTCTACGTACAATAAAGAGCTCTGAAGCCTGCGCTGTCCTGAGCCAATCTCACTGACTTCCATACACCTAGCCCCATTGGCCAGTTACTGTATCAATCCATCTCATCCGGGAGAAGCGCCTTGGCTAGCTCGCATTCAGCCCGCTGGCGACAACACACCCACGCCGGGATCTTTGGGCAAAGTCCCTGCGCAGGTCGCCGTCGGGCCGCAGCGCCCCCTCGCGGCCGCCGCAGTTGGGCCGCCCCACAACTTCAAGCGAGGCTTCCACCTACTTCTCCTAGAAGTGACCGGCGTGTCCCTCTCTCCGCTAACGTCCGAGCAAATATATTTAGACGGAAGCTAAAAGTCACCCACGGAAAGAATGATTACGAGAACACTCATCGCAAATCCCTGCCAGGCCCCGCAGAGCAAAATACCCAGACCTGGGCGCACCGCCCACCTCGGCGCGCCGTGCTCGTGCGCCTGCCCGAGACAGCGCGCGCGCAGGCGCCAACGAGGCACGCCGCAGCCATTGCTCGCCCCGCTGCCAAGTGGAGCGGCCTGTTATCGCAAGTGCGTGGACTCGGAAGAACGGGTGAGTGCGACGCTGCAGGACAGCGACCTGAGATGGGAGGAGAGGGACAGCGCACTCAGGGAGGGGAGCCCCTCCCTGACCTGGCTAGCGCGTAAAGAACTACAACCCCCAGAGTACATTGCGCCTCAGGCTTGCGCGATGCGGTGACGTAGAGGCGTCTTGGCCGCTACCCTTTCTCGATGATCATTTCTGTAGTTTGTTACTGGAGAAGTTTCTCTGATCGTGTAGCAAGCGCTGAACGTCCATTGGCCAGGGCTGATGACGCGCCCTTCGTGCAGCTGCGGGGTCACCCGAAGTCAGCGTCTGGTCATTGGGCTCTGAGTTTTTCCAAACACGTAACTCAACTCTTCCTGTCTCACCAATAATGCGAACTGATGGCCTCTTTAGCCGTAACTAAAGATCTGTACCCTTATAATGGAAATTCTCGGCAGCTCCCCAGAAGTTTGGCAGCTCGATCCTGTCAGCTGCTCGCCTGGAGAAAGACGTGGCATTCAGCCCCCTTTACAGATCATAACCTTGGCACTAATGTCGTGAAATAAAAGGTGTTTAAATTGGTGAACATGAGAATAATGTGCTCTGTAAACTTTCACCCAAATAGAAAATAGTGAAAAAGGAATTAAAAATTATTTCCACTAAGTAAATAGGGATTACAGCATTGGAAGCTCTGTAGGGCACTTCTACTCTCTTGTAGGGTTTACATGGATAAAAAACGTCTGAGCAACAATTTTAAAAAAAGAAAAAGGCAAGAGAAATATGTCCTTGGAGGCAAGGAAAGAGAAACTTTGTCCGATATACTTTGGGCATGTTGTTAGAAGGGGCCAGTCCTTGGAAAAAGACATCATGCTTGAAAAGGTCATCAAAAAAGAAAGACCCTCCACATGATGGATTGAAACAGTGATTGTGACAACGGATTTGAGAGATGCTAAGGTGGCACAGAATAGGGCAGGGTTAAGATCCATTATAGGGTCATTATGAGTCTTAATTGAAGCACCTAAGGACAACAACAGCTGTTAGGTGTATGAAGACCCTTGACAACATGGGTTGACTACAACAATGGACTCGAGCATGGTGGAGATTGTGAGGATGGCATAGTTTCAGTCTTGTGCGTAGGGTCATTGTGAGTCACTCTACCTGATGCCGAGTAACAACAATAAGATACCAAAAAGGTGGTAGTTTGAACCCATCCTAAAGCACCTCAGAAGACAGGCCTGGCAGTCGGCTGCCTGTAGATTACAACCTAGAAAACCTAATAAAGCAATCCTACTCTACACACAATTGCAGTCAGTTCTGTAGCAACTACCACCAGCAGCAACCTTTAAATAACACCTGAAGACATTTTCTAAGAACAGGGACACCCCAGACACACAGCCCCCTAAAAACCAAGAACTTAGCATTGATCAGGGAGCTCTGGTGGTGGTATCTGTAGGGAGTTGTACTATTAGCCAAAGGACACACTAGTCTGACAGTTCAAATACACCAGAAGTTCTGCTGGAGACAGCTGGCCATCCTCCTTCTGTGTGACTTAGCCTCAGAAAACTTGCTGGAGGGTCAGCAGTGAGTCTTCTGACTTGACAGCAATGAGTAACAATGATCATAAATAACCCTTTCCTGAACCATAGTTCTTATTACTGTTTTTTCCAATTGTCCTAACAGTATCCTTTATTGAAGCTACTTTCTCCCCCATCAGGGACATATAATGTGTCCAACAGGCATATACTCTTCCTCAGTTTACCTTAGATTCCCATGCCTTTGAAGATGCTCAGTCATTTGTTTTATCAGACAAGTGCTGTCTGAGCTTCTTCACCATTGATAGTTGATGATGTGTGCTGTTGAGTCACAACTGACCCATAGCTGACCCTCCAGTGAGTTTCAGAAGCTGTAAATCTCAAGGGACGAGAGATTGCCTATTCTGCAGAGCAGGTGTAGATTCAAACCACGTGCCTTTGGGATTGCAGGGCAGCTTCTTCCCTCTAAGCCACCTGAGCTCCCTTCTTCACCATTAGACTTGGTTGTTGGTTGGAACATCATTGGTGATGGTCACCAGCTGCCATTAACCAGAGGTTGGAGTGCATCTTGGGTAAGTGAACAGGTCCCTCTAAGAGCAGATCCTGTCTGTGTATGTCCCCAGGTGGGACATCTCTCGTACCTCACTGTGGTCTCTGACTTCCCTTTAGCACCCACCTGCGAGCCATGGTGCATGCCTTTCTCATCCACACCCTGCGGGCCCCGCACGCTGAGGACACAGGCTTCTGTCGAGTGCTCTACTCCTGCGTCTTTGGTGCCGAGAAGTCACCTGAGGATCCAAGGCCACACGGCGCTGAGAGGGACAGACTGCTTCGCAAGGAGCAGGTTCTGGCTGTGGCCAGGTAAGCATCTAGCCCAGATCCACTTTTTTGTCCAATACACACCTCATTGTGGGGGTTTTCTAGATGGGGAGGGATGAGGAAGCAGAGACAAAGTGTTAGAGTTGTATTTTTTTTTAGAGTTGTTTTTTTCCAAAGGATCTTTCATAGTTGCATTTAAGTATTAGATTGTTGTTGTTGTTGTTGTTAGTTGCCATCGATTCGTAGACTACTCTTAGCGACCCTATGAACGAAAGGCCTGAGCACTGTTTGTACATAGAGTTTCCGGAGGCAAGCCATTTTGGAAGTGGATGCCGCTCCTGCTTCCAGGCTTGTTTTAGTCGGGAAGCTCCAGCCAACACTGTCCACTGTGGATACCCATTACCACGTTTGGCACACCAGTGTCACAGCATTCAGCATCACAGCAACCACAAGTTACCTCTGTACAGCATCGCGCAGACCAGTGCTATACCACCTAGAAGAATGTTTGACAGGAAAATAATTTGAACCCGGCCGGGGGCCGCAGATCAAAATCGCCCACCTTCGGCAAGCTCTGGTGGCCTGGGGGCGGAAGGCTGCACTGCAATCCCAGAGGCACATGGTTTGAATCCATCGGATGCTCTGCTGGGGAAGGAGGGACACTCTCCCCCGTACTGGTCGGATCCGATTTGACAGTACACACACACAAAATAATAAAAATAAAATAATTTAAAAAAAATCACCCACCTTCAGCTTGGTAGCATAACTTTCTTTCCACTAGACCAACATCTCTCTCTCTGTCATCAAAGTATTAGATTACAAAGAGGTAAAGAAATAACAGTGTTGTCATTCTCTGGTTACTATAGACTCAGAATGGACTCATTCATAGCTTACCCTCCCGCAGGCTTCCAGAGGCTGTTTTTCACACTGGAAGGAGATTGCCCATCTTTCTCCTGAGGAGCAACTGATGGATTCGAACCACATACCTTTGAGTGGGCAGCAGAGCTCCCTACCCACTAGGCCATCAGTTGTTGTTAGGTGCTATCGTGTAAAGTACAACTCATAGCGACCCTGTGAATAGCAGATCTGAACCCTGTCCTATCCTGTACCATCCTCATCATCTCTGACACACGGAAGCCCGTTGCTACAGTCACTGTGTATTATCCATCTAGAGCTTCCTGTTATTCTAGTGAGCACAAACTGAACCTGTAAATATGCCCTGAAGTGTCTCAAGTGATACACACTTCACACACCCAGCTGCTAACCGCCCGCAGAGGCGATTGTTAATAATGTTTTAGGGGAGATAGAGGAGTGCCAAGGAGCCCTGGTGATTTGAGCTCACCCAGCTGCTTCAGCAGAAAGACCTGGCATTCTCCTTCTAAAAAAGCAGCCATTGCAAACCCTGTGGAGCCCCGTTCCTGCCTGATACACACGGAGTCGACATGAGTCAGAGTTGGCCCAGCAGCGGCTGGAAGGCAAGAAGTTGAGTGCTGAGTCGCTTTCTGAGCATTTTAAGTATATTTACTCTCAATCCTCTAAGAATCGTTAAAGTAGTTAGAATCGTTCATTGCCCTCACTTTACTGTTAAGTAAACAGATTCGGAGTTTAAGGGACTTAATCTTTCAAAGTGTGGGGGGGGTCAGTTAATCGCTCTGGACCTCAGTTTCTTCAGCTGAGAAATGGGGATAATAGTGCCAGTTGCTGACTCCAGGGATGTTTGTGAAGATGACCAATGTCGATGTGTATGTGGGCTGTGGTGGTGGCCTCGCCACAACCCTTAGTGGCCTGACCACTGACTCTCCCACAGGCAGGTGGAGTCCATGTGTCAGCTGCAGCAGCAGGCGTCCGGCCGGGCCACCATGGACCCTCCAGCCCAGTCTTCAGACGAGCCGGTGTCACTGCATGAGGTCCCACATGGGGCCTTCCGTCTGGCAGCGGGGGACCCTTTCCAGGAGCCCCGGACAGTGGTGTGGCTCGGAGTGCTGTCCTTGGGGTTCGCACTAGTGCTGGACGCCCATGAGAATCTACTGCTGGCGGAGAACACGCTCCGCCTGCTGGCCCGGCTCCTCTGTGACCACCTCCGCCTGCTGGCCCCTGGCACCAACCTCCTGCTGCGGGCTGACCGCATTGAGGCCATCCTCACCCGCTTCCTGCCTCATGGCCAGCTGCTCTTCCTCAACGATCAGTTTGTCCAGGCTCTGGAGAAGGAGCTCAGTGCCGCCTGGCCCCTCTGACTGCCTGGCGGGGATGAAGCTGCCTGAGAGAGAGCAGGGCGGGAGGACGGCAGCCAGCCAGGTGAAGCTCTGCATCGGCCTCCTGCTCAGCCTGTGCTCAGCCTGTACCCAGCTCTGATGTGGCACCGCACCCAGGACAGGTGCATGGCACACCTGGCAGAAAGGAGGCTGGGCCAGGGGGGTGCTGGTGTTACTTGACCTGAAGTAATACAGCCTAAGGGCATCTTGTGTCCAGAGCAGGCACATGACTGGTTCAGACCCCACATTGGACTCACCAGTGTGTGTCCTTTACCTTGTCCTGCATCGCCTTCTCTGCCTCCCCAGCTGTTAGTGCTGCAGCAGTGAGGACAGGCTGCCCAGAGCTCAGCCCACCACCGTCCTGAAGCCCACGGTCATGTTGGTGGGCGGGAGGGAGCTGTGCTTCCAGAAGGACGAGCCCCTCTTCTGCACCCTCTGTGGAAGTCTCAGCAGGGACCTTGGCAGTGAGGCCTGCTCTGAGTCAGGTCTCACCGTCTGTGGGCCAAGTGCCCCAGCAGCGAGATTCTGTGGTTTCTTCAGTTCAGACTCCATAGCTCCAGGTCATCCTGAATTTCCCTCCTCTGTGGGGAGAAAGGGTGCAGTCACCCAAATCTCAGGTGACTGCAGAACACTGTTCTCTGTAGTAGTTGTTCTAATTTTGAATTAAAAATGCCAGCTGTGTGGTTTTACCCCCTGTGGTCAAGAGTTTGATTCCTGCATGTCTTCACCTGTAGTGCCTGTCAGGGTAAATGCTGAGCCTCTGTGTACATATCTCATTGTCTCAGGGCCCGTTGCCATTGTGTCCTGCTCTGTGTTATCCAAACACTTGAAGACACACATTTCCTTTTGTGCCCAAAGAACCAGGCAATGCGTAGAAGTGGTTGTTGTTGTTGTTATTATGTGCCATCAAGTCGCCTGTGACTCATAGTGACCCTATGTACAACAGCCCTAAACTTGCTCTATCCTATGCCAATATTATTGTCTTTGACACACCCACCCCCGTTACCCCTGTAACTGAATCAGTTCATCTCATCAAGGGTCTTCCTCTCTTGTGCTGTCTCTCCACACTGTCATGCATGATGCCCCTCTAGAATGACTGGTCCCTTCTTGCAGCATGTCCAAAGTATGTCAGACAGAGCTTCAGAATCCTTGCCTCCAAGGAGCAGCCTGGTTTCACCCTCTCCAGGATGAACTTGTTTGTTCTCCTAGCAGTCCATGGTATATTCAATATTCTTCATCTCCAATACCACAGCTCAAAGGCATCAATTCTCCTTCTGTCATCCCTAGTCATTGTCCAGCCCTCTGATGCATCGCAAGTGATTGCAAAGACTATGGCCTGTATCAGGCGCACCTCAGTTTCCAGACTGACATCGTTGCTCTTCAGAAGTTTGGAGAGATCTCAGACAGCCGACTTTCCCAATGCAGTATGTCTTTTAATTTCCTGGGTGCTGGTGCCAAGTGTGTTGATTGTGGAGCCAAGCAAACTAAAGTTGTTAACAGTCTCAACGTCTTCACCATCCATCCTGATGCTGCCAATCAATCCATTGGTGAGAATCTTTGTTTTCTTGATATTGAGCTTCAATCCATGTTGAAGGCTGCAGTCCTTAACCTTCTGCAGCAAGCGCTTCAGGTCCTCCTTAGTTTCAGCAAGCAGGGTTGTGTCATCTGCATAACACAGATAGTTGATTTTTAATGTTTTAGGGAAGATAGAGGAACACTAAGAAGCCCTGGTGGTGTACTTGTTAAACCTCGACCTGTTAACCTTAGTGTCAGCCAAAGGTTTGAACCCACCAGGACTCTGTGAGAGAAAAAAAACAACCCAAAAACAAATCAAACCATCCCTGGTAATCTGTTCCCATAACAATTACAGCCTAGAAAAGGCTGTGGGCATTTTTTCTCTGTCCCTGTTAAGTTGGAATCAACTCAAAGGCACACAATAACATCTCATAAAACAACAGACATTTATAAAATGTTACAGCATGAACCCTTGACATTGGTGGACACTCCCAGTCTTAAGTCTTGCAAATCCTCCCCATCAGAATTTTCTCACTGATGCCCTGCCTGGGACTTCAGCCTTCCCTCAGCATCCAGGATGCACCCTCCTCTTCTCTCAGGTTCCCAGCGCCCTCATTTCATTCCTGCCCGTTTCTTGTTTCCTGTTCACACTGAGCAGGTTAGGCTCCATTCCTACCCTCCCCCCAGCTTGGTTACAGGCCTGCCCTTGGCTATCCTAAGCTGTGCCAGCTTCAGAACACTGTCCTCTGGGGCTTCACCTTCAGCTGCTCAAAGCACATTTGAAAGTGAAAGTGAAAATGGAACATGACTCAATTCTCAGCACTTCCTAAAGTCTGTAAGCTGAAAGCATGAAAAGATGGGTTCTCCCTGCTGCTCATATCTCTATCTATATATTTCAACAATTGTTTTTCCTATCAAATTCTAACTTCTAAGAGGAAGTTCTATTCTATCCTATTCTATTCTATTCTATTCTATTCTATTCTATTCTATTCTATTCTATTCTATTCATTATATTGTTCTTGTTTGGTCTTCCACTTGATACCTAATGCCAGGTACAGAACCTGGCACACAGTTGGGGATTAGTTAGTTATGAGATGGCTTCTGACTCAGAGCTAACTTGTGTGTCAGACCTAACTTGTGTTCCTGGAGATGTCAGTGGCTAGTTTTTGGTAAGCAGATTGCCAGGCTTTTCTTCCAAGATGCGTCTGGATGGACTCAAACCTGCAGCCTTTTGGTTAGCAGCCCTGGGAATTAACTGCAGTACCTGGGAACTCTGTATATTGTTGGCACTCAATATACTTTAAGTGGCTGAATGAATAGGTGGTTTGTTTCAGACCCAGATTTAGTAACTGCAACATCTCCATGTAACAATTCTTGGCTTTCTTATGAGAAGCAGATAGAAATAATAGAGACAAAGGAACCATAGTGTACTTTGCTCAGACTATGCTCATCTCTCAAGGATCTTACTACCAAAACTACATCAGTTTCCCAGAAGATACACTGCGTGAGTCAGCAAAGGAGGCAGTCATGTAACATCTACAAGGTCCTTGCTACAATTGTTGCTGTGTTCAGAGCCCTGCTCACTAGTTTTCTATTGCTGGCTTTTTTTTTCTTTCTTTGATAATTTGTCCTTTTGGTGAAAGATTACACAACAAATCAGGTTCTTGTGTGACAATTTCATACACTTTTTTTCAGTGGCATGAATTTAATTTTGTACGGTGTGCCAACATTCCCATTAGTTGCATTCTGAGTGTTTGATTGCTAGTACTCTGGGCTCTCTGCAGGGAGCTCGGGTGGTGTACTCCATAGAGGTGCACTATTCACCCAAAGGTGGAGCTTATCTGATGGTAGACTCCACCAGCCACTCTGCAGAAGAAAGTTGGGCAGTCTCCTTCCGTGTGATTTACAGCCTTGGAAACCCACTAGTGGATCAGCTGCCGTTGGGCTGGACTCAGGGCAATCAGAGAGAGAAAGGGAATTTTCCCTGCTTCCCTTCTCATCTATGCTTAAGAGCCTCCTATAGATGGGTTTGCTTGTGTTTATTGGTTTTGTTTTGTTTGGTTTTTTGGTGAGCAGTGCATCACACTATGGACCACACCACCAGAGCTCCTTTCATACAGATATAAAATGGAGAGTTATATTACTCATGAATAAAAGCCTTTTATTTTGTGTGACAATCTGTTATTTTGTGAAAAGGTGACCTCGGGATAGTTTTGGTTTAAGATTTAAAGAGTACCACAGGGTGACAGCTTCAGAGAGTCCTCCAGTCTCAGCTGGTCTAGTAAGGCTGGCTTTTAGAAGAATTTGAGTTCTTTTCTGTATCTTTCTCCCATCATAACAGGGATGCTGTTGAGTCAACAGAGACGTTATAAACAAAAGATCTGAACCCTGCTTTTTCCTGTGCAGTCTTGACACTTCCCGAGACACGAGCCCATTGCAGCAGTCACTGTGTCAATCCACCTGGTTGAGGGTTTTCCGCTCCTTTGCCAACCCTCCACCCTTCCCAGCATCATGTCTCTCTCCAAGGAGTAGCCCTCACAGCAACAAGGCCAAAGTGTGAGAGATGAAGCCTCATCATCCTTGCCTCCAAAGAGCACTCGACTGCACCATCTTCCAGGACATACCTGTTCATTCTGTTGGCCATTCATGAGATGGTCAGTGCTTTTCTCCAATGCTTGATGCTCAAGGGCGTCAATTCTTTTTCTGTCATCCTATTCATTGTCCAGCTCTCAGATGCATAGGAAGTAATCGGAAAGGCCATGGCCTGAGTCACATGTGCCTTAGTCAGTTTGAGAACTAAGGCACATCTGATTCAAGCCATGGCCTTTCCGATCACTTGCTATGCATCTGAGACTACTCAACAATTTGGAGAGGTCTCTACCTGCAGACTTTCCCAGTGCAATGTGTCTCCTTATCTCCTGACTGCTGGTACTGAGGGTGTTAATTGTGGGTTCAAGCAAGATGAAGTTGTTGACGATTTAAATGTCTCCAACCATCAGGGTCCAGCTATTATGGTCCTAATCAGAACAGTGGATTCCTTATAGTGGGGCAACATCTAGTTCTTCTGGTCTCAGGGTAGAGGAGGCTATGAATTGTATAGGCTATAAACTCTATACATTAGTTTCATCTTTTGAAACATTGTATTCTTTCTTTCTTCTGTTTTCCTTAAAAGCAGAAACCACCAACTGTGTCTCGATGATTGCCTGTCAACTTTTAAGACCCTAGATGCTGCTCACCTCACCCTCTGAGGCTGGGCTCTCTAGAAAAGTAATGCCATTCAACCTTCAAGGGAGAAGCATTTGAGGAGGAGGAGTCCAGCTTGTCAGCAGACAGGCAGAGTCTCAGGCTGCTGGCTTTAGAGGCTGACATGTCCAAGGGAACTGGGGTACACGTTATTGGGAAGCAGGGTTGCAGATAGCTGGCTTCAGAGACTGTCAGCTGTCATCTTTAGAGGTGGACATGTCCAA